TTTAAACTTGTGGCAACCTGCTGGGTCTTCTTTGATCTCCTGGAAGCCTGTTGGGTCGTCTTTATCTCCATGTTCGGATTTTTTACTGTGTGCTTGACTTGGATGTGTTTTCATCTCTGAGCTGGGAACCCTGTGGGGTCTTTTAGTCTGAATGCACATCTTTTTTTTTTTTTAAGTTATTTTTTTTATTTGAATTAGAAACAAGATTGTTTTACATCACAATCCCACTTCCCTTCTCCCTCCCGTCCTCCCCTACCACCCCCTCAACTAAAACCCTACCTATCACATATCCTTTCTTCTATTCTTCCCCTGACTCAACCTTTCTGCTCCCTTATGACCTCTGCATCCTTCCTCTTCTTCCCTTCTCATTCTCGTAGCTCCCTCCCCCCTCTTCCCATGCTCTCAATTTTCTCTGGGGATCTTGACCCTTTCCCCTTCTCCAGGGGACCATGTATGTCTCTCTTAGGGTCCTCCTTGCTTACTAGCTTCTCTGGCTACGTGGATTGTAGGCTGGTAACCATTTACTCTATGTCTAAAATCCACATATGAGTGAGTACATATCATGTTTGTCTTTTTGTGATTGGGTTACCTCGCTCAGAATGGTTTCTTCTAGTTCCATCCATTTTCCTGCAAATCTGAATGCACATCTTATACTTATCAATTGCTAGATATGCTTTTGGATTGCTTCTGTGCTCTACTTACACCTCAACTGAATGATCTGCACTTATTACTCCATTGCTGGCCTTTCAAATTGCTCCCTATTCACCTAGTCTCCCTCCCCCTGCTCAGGGTCCATTTTATCTATCTGCTTTTTGCACCTGTATCCTCATCTTCTACAAAATGAGTTGTATGCTTTAAATTCCCTAAACTCTTTGTGGATAGTGTTTGTCTTTCATCCTTAAAGCATCTTGTTGCCTTGAGAAAACCCCTCCAGTAGCTTTGTTTATTTTCAGACAACACTGATGATATTTCCACCCCAACTTCCAAGTTGATTTATGCTAAATGTTAAGCTATTTGGTTTTAGCTGGGTGGTGGTAGCATATGCCTTTAATCCTAGCACTCAGGCAGATATCTATGAGTTCAAAGCCAGCCTGATCTACAAAGCAAGTTCCAGGACAGCCAGAGCTGTTACACATAGAAAAAAAAAAAAAAAAAAAAAAAAAAAAAAAAAAGAAGAAGACATTTGATCTGTGTTAGCATCTTTGAACAGAAACTTTGCTAGAAAGCTTGAGGCCCCCATCTCTTAATGAAGAGCTCTTTCCTATCACCCTCCAAGTATTCGGTCCAGCTTTCTTTTCACACCTTCAAAGGCTTAAAGCACCGCATACCAACAATTTACAATATTTTTCCAGCGCCAAAAATCATTTATCATCTACTGGGATTGGGAAACCAGGGTCATTATCACAGTTTCTAGTCAGCATAGTTGATCTCAGGCAAAAATCTTGGCTGCCTGTTGAAGAGTAAAAAGGAAAGTGACACTTGAGGCATATACATAGGACCTCTAGAAGCAAGCTTGCCAGTAGAGAACAGGCCAGGGGTGGCAGATTGTCTCCATACTGGCATCTTCCCTCTTTCCTCAAGAGATCAGATGTCCCTTATATTATATTATAATTCTCTAATTTCCTACCCCTTCCCCCACCAGGTGGGGAACAGGAGGCTTGGCTCTCATTCTTCTGAGTATCTAATAAGAAATGTACATGAACACTCTCACACTCGTTCCCTGTTCTCCATGTCGTATCTCTGAGCTCAACTGCACTGAGTATCCCCTGGTTAAGAAAATCCTTTATTTTCTATGCCTGGAGAAGGAGCTAACTGAATGGGGGAAGGCACTCCTTTCAGAAGGGCTCTATCCTTTTAAAGAACTTATTACATGCTTACAATCTATTTCACCTATGCTAGTGTTCCCTCATTCCCACTAAGCACACATTATAATGGGAACTGAATTGGTTCTTGAGATAGAACTGTTCACTCAGTCACATCTAATTTCTACCATCCAAGATAGTTCCTTTGGCCAATGTAGATTTAGACTTCAAGTCACAGTCTCTTCATGAAAGTGCTAGTTCCACGTAGAAGGTATGTAGTTCCTTGCAGGAATGTTAAATACACAGTGTCCCTTCAAAGAGAGGGACATATAACCTGTTTTCCACCCAGAAGGCTTGGAACAGATGTGGTTAATCACCTGGTGACCTCTGTGTTATCTGTGTGGTCAGGCTACACTGGCTCCCCCAGACCCTCATCTTGATCTCCTTAGTCTCAATCTATAGCACTATCCTCCCCCAGACCTTTATCATGAACCTGTTTATCTTGAGCCTGTTTCCTCAGTTAATCCACAGAATCTATCTTTAAGAAAAATGTCATTTGTACTTCACAGAGTTTCGATGTAGTCATCTCCTAGACATTGTTGTGCACATGGAATTGAATTATTACCAGGGAACATTTTTCCAAATTGTGTTGCACTTAAATATGCCTAAAACAAACTACTAGAACTTCAGACTCTCAAAGTTTGAAACAACATCCGCTACTGGGCTGTGTTAAGCGGAACTGCCTTATCTGTCCCAGATGGACATTCTACTCTGAGCTAATTTATCTTGGTGACTTTAAGCAAACTGTTTAAATAGGGATAAGGAAGACAAAGGGACAAATCACTTGAAATGAAATCACCAGAATATTGTAAAAAACAGACAATGGTATGTTATAGTTTAAAAGGCCTGGGCTAGAGCGGGCATTGGTGACACATGCCTTTAATCCCAGCACTCAGGAGGCAGAGGCAGAGGCAGGTGGATCTCTGTGAGTTCGAGACCATCCTGGTCTACAAGAGCTAGTTCCAGGACAACCTCCAAAGTCACAGAGAAACCCTGTCTTGAAAAAACAAAAAAAACTAAAATAAAAATTTAAAAAAACTAAAAGGCCTGGGCTGTAGTATAATCTCAGGTCTAATGCTCTCATAGAAAGATACTGTTTCACTATTAGTACACGGCATTGTTTTCTGTCAAGGCTAATGCACTAGATGAGATAGCTATCCTCTTTGACCTTCACTTAGATGGTAGCTTTTAGGTTAGAGATACAGTGAAGATTTATGCTTCTTCATGACAGCAAATCATCAATTCACTTAATGAAATGTAGTAAGTGACTTTGCCCACTTGTATTCTAACCAGAGCTGTTCTGTTACAGCTGCATATGAGTGTGCATGTGCAAATACATATGAATTTTTAATATGAGTATCTTACATCTCCTTCGAGACATCTGGATTGTGTTAATACCCAGCTAGCATCCCACATCCTTCAGAAGACAGGAAATTAATATTCCTGAGATGAGAGACCAGATGCTGCTGGAGAGGGTGAGGCATCTATGTCTTAATGAGGAGTGACTTTCTACAATGCCATCTGTTGCCCTCAAAGCGAGGCTCAAAGCACCACACACCTGTAGTGTACAGTACTTCTCCAGCTCCTAAAGCATCAGGATTTACCACCAACTGGGAACTACCATGGTATAATCCCAGTGTCTAACTGGTCTAGACGATCACAGGCAGGATATTCAGTCAGCCTCTCTTCCACATAACAATCCCTACAGTCTTCGCTTTAGTGATGTGGTAGACTTTGGGGAGCCCCTTTTGAGAGCCTTACCCTGCCTGGCGAGTGGGGGGGCATGGGTAGGGGCAGGTGGGATGTTGGGGGGAGGGGAGTGAGAGGGAGAAGGGATTGATATGTGAAGCAAGCTTGTTCCTTATTTGAACTAATAAAAGAATAAAATAAAAAATAAAAAAAGAAATCTTTAGACTTAAAGCTTTAATGAAGGGACCTGTCAGTTGGGTGTAAGGGACTAGAATTTCATTGTTTTTAATATCATGTATTATATCCTGTTGAAAATTGTATTTCTGTAAAATATTTTATTTATATATTGTTTATTTCTTAATAAGCATCATTATAATGCAACCGATTTTTTTAAAAAAAACATTACAGGAGTGTATAGGCAATTAAAATGATTAACATTGAAAAATTGACTTCCATAATCTACTAACAATTATCGCAATGTATAAGAAGGATTTATTAGTATCTGTTTGCTTTCCTCTACTATGCTTTGCTTCAAGTCCCAGCTTTGACCATGATTGCTCAGTGGCCACTAGGCAAGACATTTAATCAAGGGTCTCTGGCTTCACTTCACAACATTATGTGGATAAAATTTAAAAATAAACCCTACAAAAGAAAATATGAAATAATATACCAAGTATTGCCATTGTCACTAATTAGTCCAATTACTGCATGGAGAGAAGGGGCCTGGGGTCCTACTCTATTTTGCTGTATCTGCCAATTTCATAGGACCAAAGAGAATGAAGTCTGCGGTAGCACACATACGTGATCCACCGCAAACAACTCCCTTATTGATCTTTTCTAGGCCTTGCTCTCATGCAGACCAGATATTTGTCATAATTCTACTTTTCTACGTTTGTGTTCACTATCAAGCCGTCCTTTCTTCTTGTGGAGCAATAATAAGGAACAAACCCATCTGAAGGTGAGGGTGGATGAAATGGCTGGAGCCACAGCTCTCCAGTTTTCTAACCCTACAGGTGGGACTCATAGTCACTCCGCGGTGAGCACGCAGATGAAGCAGCAGTTCTCAAAGCACAGAGCATAACACTTTTCTCAAGGTGCCATTCCTTAAAAGCCTACTCGTTACAAAAGCTGGAAATGTTCGACTCATGCTAGGGGAAGAAAGGAAAACCCCAGTCACAAGTCTCTGCAGTGTTACTACTGTAGCCGACACAAGGAATTGATTGGGGGTGGTGCCAGCTTTTTAGAGACAGCCACACAGTTGCAGAGCGCTTCTCTGGGCAGAGAAGGCTGCCAGGGCCTTGGCTCTGCTCAAACCGGCTTTCACGCAGCAAAGGGTGAGACACACTGTACCCCAACAATGCCAAGGTGGCCATGGAGGTCTGCAACATGCTGCACACGCTCCCCAAACCCCTCCCTCCACGACAGCGCACGCCCGCGGGGGCCCATTACCATCCTGCAGAATGAGGGTCGGCTGCACTGCCTGCACTCGGAACTGCCTGGCCCTCCAGCCAGGGCTGGGGGCTCGCACCACCTCGCTGTCAGAGAGCCAGGTCACGGTCTCAAAGTTGTCCCCTCGAGCCAGGGCCTCGGCCTCAGCGCGGTGCACAGCCACCTGGTCGAACTGGTAGAGCCCGCCGGAGTGATCGAAGTGCACGTGAGTGGCCACAGCCAGCAGTGGCCGGCGCCCGGCATCCTCCTTAGCCCCGCAGTCCTGCAAGAGGCCGGAGGAGTAGAGGTACTCCGGGAGGCTGCGCAGCCCCAGGCCCGTGTCGATCACCACGTCTTGCTCGGAGCCGCGCACCAGCCAGATGTTGGCGCGGTTGCCTGACTCGTAGAAGCGCTCTTGAATCCAGAAGATGCCATCGCCCAGAGACTTGTGGGCGTACCACTCAAGCGCGGACATGCTGCTGCGCAGGGGTGCGGCCGGGAGAGGTGGGTGTGCCTCCCAGGGGCAGTCCGGACCCAGAGCTGCCGCAGTGTGCGGCGTACTCCACTCAGCCCCGGAGGAGGCGCGAAAGAGGGGCGGGGATGCGGAAGGGAGCGCGGATAGGCCGCGGTGACGCTGCCCAGATCTCCTGCTCCCGGTCCGCACAGCGCAAAGGCTGCACCCCAGGCTGCCGCAGCTTCTGCAGCCGCAGCACCGTGGCAGTAACGCAGGCCGCTGCAGCAGGGCGGAGATATGGGGCGACACTGCCCTGCTCGGGGGTTCTGCTGCAGAGGCTAGGGATGATGCGTGGGAAGCGCCAGGACCGCCCCCGCACGGGCAGCAGGCGCAGCTCACTCACCGCTGGAGCCCAGAGTGAGGCCGAGCCAGTTGGAAGCAGACTACGGCGCCTGCCAAGGGCTAAAAAGCTCGGTGCCGGGGGCGTGGCCTCGCCGGCAGTGGGCGGGGCTCCTAGTGGGCTAGCTGAGCGCGGTGGCCGCGTGCAGGACAGTGATCGCTGCTGGGGAGGTGGAATCCGCGGCTCCTGGCTGGGGCGGCTGCGGGGCCCCCGGCCACCTCGGCTGAACAAAGTGCACAAGCCTCGAGACGTTGTGAGCAGGTAACAGGAAGCTGTTCCGAATTGGGTTGGAGTTGAAGAGGGTAGAAGGGAGTTGATGGGGCACGTGGAGAACGTGGTGGACCCGCATCGGGAGCCAAAATTCATCAGACCTTTGGAGTGACTTGGGAGGTAGCCTTACCTCTTCAAAGCCTAATGCTGCCTTCCAAATCCTTTGACGTCTTGGTAGTTAGATCTTCCAGCCCCCTCCTGGGAGTGTTCTTAGTGAGATAGAAGGGAGTTTATGCTCTTGCTGATACTACAGAAGACTTAGCCAATCCGGAGATCCTACAGTTCGTTCACGCACTGGTTTGGCGACAGATTGCTGCTATGGGCATACCATTCCGCTTCTGATTTCTTTACTCTTGGCACCCTGGATTGTGGGGAGAGGAGTTGCTAATAGGATTTTTCTTTAAACAATTCTAAATTTCCGTCATGTTTTGTTCGGTTCTCTGCTCGTTGAGAAAGTTTCCAGAGCTTAACTAAAGAAAGGCGGGGCACTTTGAGGGGGACAGGAAAAGTGGATAATGCCTGGGTGTGGCCTACCCAGCCACTAAAATCACCCCCACTGTTAACATCAAATCCCTGTGCTCTCACCCCAAGCCCTAGCTATTGCTGTATCTATTTAGGATTCAGAAATGCCCTTGAGAAGTTGACTAACCGTCAAAAATTAGAGACCCACGGGATAGCATTATAAAGGATAATTAGGAAAATGCTTACTGCAGCATCTCCTAATAGACTTTCCTGGAGGGAGAGGTGTATTCTTCCTCTATTCCTAAAGTCTCTGGTGGGAGTTCGAGCAGGTTACTGCCCCTGTGAGTATTTTGCTAATCTCATCTAAGTACAAGTTATTCAATTATGCAATTGGGATCATTCTTAGCACTAAATGATGTGTGATGAACACAAAACTATATTTTTTTAAAAAAAAAAAGTCTGATTTGAGTTCTCAAGAATCTGAGGAAGCTAATGCCTGTACACAAATACTTGTAATACAAGGCAACATGAATTAAAAAATTGGATGCTATGTGGGTAAAAAGGGAGAGACTGCTGAGTGATTGCACTGCCCTCTGTACTTGATGTTTTCCCTGCAGAAGGGAGCCATGGCTCCAAGGTAAAATGGTTCATTATCATTTCTTGGTCATGAGCTCAGCAATAATTTGCCGAGAATTATTTGGCTTGTGCCAGGCTACAGTTCACAGTGGTTCTCTTTTTCTGCTTTTCAGCCTGACTCTGCTTCTCATCGTTGTTAGATTTACGCCCAGGTATTGCTGAGTGAGGCAGGACTTCTTCAGCTGGTGTTTCTGGGCTGTTCCCTGCTTTTATTACACATCACCTCCCAGTCTCTGGCGTTTCTCTAAAGTAGACTTTGCCTGTTTCCCATACATGACTGTGAACTCCATCTGAGCACAGGTGTTATTTTGTTCCCTTCTGTATTTCCAACACAGAGGATGATTTGACACAGAGGGTACTCAATGAAGACTCCAGTGGGTGATGGAAGACCCTCCCTGGGGAGACACACAGGAACCAACAGTTACTTGGTGAGAGGCAGAAGTTATGTGTCCTACATTTGTTTGAAAGATGCGAATGGCACATTGTAAACACTTGCCCTCTGTTAAAATGACTACAGAGGGAACTGAAACTCGGAACCTGAACATAAGTCTAGTCTGTTTTTGGAGGATCAGATGGAGATGATAGAAGGCCTGAGCGAAAGCAGAAATAAAGGAAGGGAGCGGCAAAGAACACCCAGCTAGAAGTCTTCTGCTAGGTGACCAGAGTGGAGTGAGTCAGGCCCTTGACTAAAACAAGTTGCAAGTCATTCATAACTGTGGCCTGATTTCCAGGCCTCCCCTGGCTTCCAGCAACTCAGACATTTGTCTAGTTAAATGTGTAAGGTTTTAATGTGTACGACGTGAGGACAGTATATGTAAGTCACAATCATAACTCTTGATAGTTTAGATCTGGGGAGAACTGCTGAGATTATCTCATGCTCTCCCAGGAGATTGTAGTTAGAGTTGAATAATGCCCATTTTCAGACATCCAGGAACAACCTCTGAATAGCAGTTTCGAGGTGGCATCCTGAGGTGGAAGGGACGGTGTTGCTTTGTTGATAATTGTATTTTAAAATTCAGATTTTGAGAGGGCTGGAAAAATGGCTTAGCAGTGACAAGCTCATGCTACTCTTGTTGAGGATCTGAGTTCAGTTCCTAGCTTCCACACCAAGTGGCTCACAACCACCAGTAACTCCAGCTCTAGGAGATCTGACATCATATTCTGACCCCCACAGGCACCTACATTCAAGTACACATACTCACAAACATTACAAATAAAATCTTAAAATTCAGAACTTTTTGCAGTTACTAATTTCCCTCACTGATTCTGCATCATTGGGATTAAAAAGGGTTGTCAACTAGTTTAGACAGGTGCTTCCCAAAAGAAAATATAGATAGAACATTGAAAGTATTTCCTGAGGCCCAATCTATACCTGCCTTTGATAGGAATTAAGACTATCAGATAACATTTCAGAACCTTTTAACTCTTCTATAAAATGGGAGATTTAATTTACTCTGATTCTTAGTTCAGCCAAGGCTGCATAGTGAGACCTTGGAGAGAGACAGACAGACAGGCAGACAGAGACACACAGAGAGATCACATATAATAAATATGGATGCCAAAATATTTTAAATGAATGGATGTTTTGAAGGAAGAATTTGGTGGCTAATGCTTTAGTACTCTCTGCTCATTGCTAGTTGAGTAAATTTGCTGAGTTCAATTGGGCCATTATAAACAGATTTGATTAACAGGGAAACAGAGAAAACAAAAACTCTTCAGTTAAGAAGTTTGGAAGCACCGGGTGTTGGTGGAGTCTGCCTTTAATCCCTGCACTCAGGAGGCAGAGACAGAGGCAGAGGCAGGTGGATCTCTGTGAGTTCAAGGCCAGCCTGGTCTACAGATCGAATGCCAGAATAGGCTCCAAAGCTACACAGAGAAACCCTGTCTCAAAAAAAAAAAAAAAAAAAAAAAAAAAAAAAGAAGAAGAAGAAGTTTGGAAGCTAGGCCTGACCTCTCATCTATTATAGAGGCTGAAGCAGGAAGATTATAAACTCAAGGCCTCCCAAGTGTTGGGATTAAAGGTGTCAGCCACCACCACCCTGCTAGGATACCTACTAAGAAGGTGTCTCAAGAGCTAGGTAGGATTGGATTTTCTGAAGATTACATTTATCAAGTCACGCCCAATGACTTCATGATAAAAATAGGAAATTGGAGTCTGCAGAGAATATTGGGGGATGTTGGGGAATATTCCATCAAGCTGTGTTAGCTCAGATACTCTCTTGGAATTTTCCAAACTGTTTCCAGGGCCCAGCTCCAAAGATATGGGTTAATTAGGTTTGAGAACCAATTATTCTCCAGGGTTCAATATGTTTTATATGTCTCCCAGCTAATTTCTGTGACCAGCTAGGTTTGGCAAACTTTGCCTAAATTTGTTCTTAATCTTTAATTAGTGACAGATCCTAGACTGGAATGTAGCACAGTTGGGCCCCTGAGGTTGTTTTGTAGAGTAAAGGTGTGAACGCTTTCCTCAGCAGCTTGTTGTAGACTCAGCAAGTTTGGGTGACTCAGCAATTGGAATGAGGCCATTTTGATGTTTTACCTCTTTTACAGTAGATAGATGGAATTGTTAGACCCTCAGAAAGCTGAGGCTTTCAGAATCTTAGTCCAGGACGGCGGCCAGTCAAGTCATGTGACCAGTTACAAAATGGCCGTAACTTGCTTTGTTTAACATGCTTAAGTTTATACCAGGAAATAGAACATTTTTAAAACAAGTATACATAATTTACTTGAGAAATAAACAGGACTTTTTAAAACAGAATTAGCTTAATATGGTTAAAATTTTAACTTATATTACCATTTTTAAAATTTACTGTTTGTAGACATGAGAAACCATAGCACAGTTTACATTTTTCTCTGACTTGTAACAACCTTTTCTCTGACCTTCGACAACTTTCCTCTGACCTTCTATAATTTATTTTAACCCTCTATAACTTTCTGTAATAATCTTTTTCTCTGACCTCTAACTTTTCTCTGACCTTTTACAACTTGCTTTAACCCTCTATAACTTTTACCGCTTGCTGTAACTCTCTATAACCTTTTAGTTTATTTCTCTGACTTTCTTAGACATTCTTAGACAAATTTTCTTTTTTCCTTTCCCTCTTTATTACTTAAGTCTGCTACATTTTTTTTTTCATTTCTCAGTCAACATAAAAATTTTGTCAAAGTCCCTTTTATAGTTCTTAATAACTTTAAGGCCATTTAGATGTCCGGATCAGGCCAGATAAGTTCATACGCTCGAGCTCCATGTGCTCAAGGCA